TTGGAAGTGGATTGTCGGCTGATTGGGTACGACATGAATTGGAAGCCGGTCAACCAATCATGAAGGTGATAAATTTTTTGTAACCAGATGGGGTTGAACCCTAGACCTTCTCCTGGTGACCTATGAAGCATTACCACTATGCTATAGACCCATAGGTCAACTTATTTAATATTATTTTTAGTTGTGTTATTAATTTATTATATATATTTTGTTTTATAAAATATAAGAAATTAAAACTCTGTTTATAATATATTTTACTTATTTATTTGTTACTTTTTTTTCTTTTCAGAATTAATATAATTTTATTAATTTCTGGTCTAATTCAATATATTGTTTTTTTGTTTTCAATTTTATATATCAAAAAATTTAATAAAATTGTTTTAATTATTTTTAATTATTTTTTATTAATTTATTTTAATATAAATTGAATTTAAATCTTTGTTATTACTGTTAATTATAATTAATATTAATTTCTTGCTATTGATTTAGAAGTTATTAACTATATAGAATTATTTAATTCTTTTCAAAATATTTTATATATTTTTTGTTGATTTAATAATTTATATAGTGTTATTTATATAGATTATTGTAGCTTTTTTGTAACATATTCAAATTAATGCTTTAACTATATTCTTTATAATCTAATACATACTGTATACAGTAGTATCTTATTTTATTAATTACGTAATTATTTACACAGTAAACTGTACTCGTGACAGAAGTAACCGGTAATAAACTCGCACGTATGACGCAATAAATATGTAATCGCATTTTTTCTTAATACGGCGACGCTAAGTTAGAAGCTTGTCAGCACATTCGCGCAATTTCTTTTGATATTACCTTTTTTTTTTTATTTCAAATCCTTAGTTTTTTTTTACGTAGGAATACACATCACCTTGCGTGTGCACGAGTTCGAAAATATCTGGACAGCGTACATTCACGCATAAACGTACTATTCACATTCTATTTTATACAAAAGTAGACACTTGAAAAAACTCATCGAAAATAATTTGATTTTTGGAAAAATTAATATAAATATAAGAATTTATAAGATAACAGATTTATCCATCCAAAGAATGTATGTTAAAAAAAATAATAAATTTTTTGGCAGTTTGGAAAAGGGAATGTTTTTTTTCTGATGTTAAATTAGAAAATCATTGTTAAAGTGAAGAAATGGTCCTTCGGATTTAAATTCGAGAATGTTTGTGACTGAACGGATCCAAGAGAAATAACAATTAATGGCCAGTGATGAATATAAAAACTAGTGAAGAATTGAAAGAGGATATAAGTTGGAAGAAGTTTGGATTGTGGTCAACAAAATATAACGACTTGATAAGGGATTCAGATCAAATTAGATGTGAAAGGAAAGGTGGGTACATGGCCTGATAATTGGTTGTAATAATCATTTCTCTCAGAATCTATAACTATTTAACAAATCCATCAGTCACCGAAAGAATCCGAAAACCAAAGAAAAATACAAATCTACACAAAATTACAAAAAAAAAAAAAATAATGCTAATGATGATTAAAGGTAATATAATATCTTAAATAAGTCCCGTGTGAAATTTCCCTCACCACAAAGTTCATTTTTAGGAGGGGATGCTTTTTTTGACTTTACAAATTTATCGCGAATGATCTTGTGCATGCCCGTCCCTCAAAACACTCGGTTTTTCTTAATTTTTTTTTTTTGTTTTTTCCTTAATTTCCATTCACGAACCACCCCAAAACCCAATTCACTATAATTTTTTTGTCTTTGACATGATGAGTAGTTTTGAGGGACCTTCGTTAAACCTAAGATTTAAGAAGTGGGCAAAGAAAGATAAGGGATAAAAGAGGTTATCGGAAATAACAAACAGAATCCACCCTAGAAATATATATGACCACTTGCTAATGTGTTATCAAAGGGAAGGGACGGAAGAATAATGATATTCCTTCTTAGAAAGTAAGGGAATTTCGTGCACACCGCCTATGTTTCAACAAATTGAAAACAATATATATATATATATATATATATATTGGTCCTAAAGAATAGAAAAAAAGGATTGTCTTGCGATCTGCACATAAAGGGATGTTCGGTACATGAAAAAGTAAATAAACCATATTGAGCACAGAAGGTATGGTGAAACAAATTTAAGGACAAGTGGGTATCAATTAGAAAAAAAGAATGTGAGGCAGGTGGAATTCTCAGTATGATTAGTTATATGTTTGCTGTCTATTAAAACCATTAGCAGTTTTTAACTTCATTGTGGTCGAGGTTTAGAAAAGGAAAATGTGTAGTTCTATGAATGCATGATGCAATATCTTAAGGTTTGCGTTTTTTTTTTTTTTTTTTTGATAGCTTATATTGGTAGGTGGCGATGGAAAGAATAATATAATAGAACTACACATGTTAATGTGAAATAGAATAACTGAAAAAAAGAAAGAAAACTAAAAAGATCGAGGAAATTGGTAAATAATATGGAATTCAGCAATACTTTACGCGAAGAAAGAAATAACTTCTATGTACATTTATTCTCCACGCAAATATCACATCATTCAAAGTAAAAAATGATAATGTCCATCTCATCAACCAAAAGAAATGAAATATCTCCCAGATAAAGAACGAAAGATAATTGATCCATTGAGTGATAATAATCAGTAGTTATTATATACGCCACCGAGAGCTCAAGCGTGAAGCCGAATTATTACGTGCTGGTTTCCCTAAGACAGCGGACGCCAAATTACTCTTCCTAGATCGCCATAGGGAGGTAACCCCTGTGGTGCGTCCGCGTGTATTGGTCTTTTTTATTTCCACGTCATCTTGTAGATCAGTCGTAGGTCGCGGGGACGCAGATCTAGGCAAACTTGGTAACGATGGTGATCTGGTAAGGGAACTAAGAGGAATGGTCATAGATCGTCGTGTCGATGGTCGTCTTTGAACCTTTTCGTGCGTGCTAGAAGAAACACTAACAACTGATGCATTTCCATCATATGGTTTTTCATTGGCGACTTGATGACGTTGATGTTTGTATGGCTCAGGGCTGGGTGCGGTATCTGGTAAGGCACAGAACAGTAAGCTAACACGTTCTTGCTCGGTATTCCAATGTGGACAACACAGGCGATATTCAAGAGGGATGTGATGATCGTTCTTGTCAATGATTTTTCCTCGCTTCACATAGTTTTCAAAGTATGGACCGCCGCAAAAGCTACACTTTTTGGCACTGGCGAGATAATCCTTAATGTGATCCGTTGTGTCTTCCAATATTGGAACCTGAAGTCTGACAATTGTGCGAGCGGCAAGTTCCATGAGGGTAGGCGGTGAGTGTGTAAGTTGATGCACGAATTCGGTTGTGAGTGGGCATCCGTCAGTCCGTAGTTTTCTAAGATATTGGAGTCTTCCTAGTTCGGCCGGTAAAACAGTGATGGGATTTTCACGAACATCCAAATTTACAAGTGTTTTAATTTGACCAATTTCGGGCGGTAGTTCGGTAATTTTATTATTGTCAAGAAATAGTATACTCAATTTCTTGAGAGAACCAATGGACGATGGTATCGACGTCAGTTGATTTTCCGATAATTTCAATTCACTGAGCTTATGCAGAAATCCGATGGTGTCTGGAATGCATTCTAACCGATTCTTGGAGACATCGAGCGTTTGCAGATTTTTCATGTAACCAATTTCTGCCGGTATTTCAGTCAATTCATTACAACATCTACAGAAAAGATTAATTAAGAGAAACAGGTTAAATAAAAAACCAGATTACTAATGTTTAATTCTCATAATCGACTAACTCCTTAATCTCTCAATAATAAATATACTTACATTTGTAGGCACGTCGTAACAAACAGGAAACATATATTGGGACTTAGTTTAACCAGACCATACTGACAAAGCCCAATGTTTTTTAAACTTGGCAACTCGCTAAACATTATTTTATTCAGATTGCTATTTGGATTAAACTCTTCTGGTATTCCAATCATTCCTTGACAACAAGAACCGTTGTCATCATGATCATGCGGATAGTTCCACGGTGTCTCATCTTCTGGTTTGTTATCTATTTCCATAGCGGTCTCCGGGGAAATACCATCAGTGACCGCAGTGTTTATCGAAGATGTCTCACCGGTTGACGTCGCTAAAGTGAGGCTATTTGAAACACTCTGCAGATGGGTATTGAGTTCAAAAAGTTCATTAAAAAGCGAGTCCGAGTTGTCAGGTGAAGAATGTACATTGGTTCGTATCGTTGACTGGTTGAGGCCTGATATTCTGTGCCGACGGTCCGATTTTACAGAAACATAGCCGAAAGGCAAGCGAGCTTGTTCTTTTGTAAGTTGTCCACCCATTTTGTGAGTTATATTAGGATACTTTTGATGAAGGTAATACTATAATATATGTGAATTAAACCTTTTTACGGTTCTTTGTGCTAAGATGACGAAAGGTCAGGTTGTGCCTAATATTATACACCGAAACACTCCCAAGTACACTATTAATGAATATGTATATACTTTTGTGCCAAGTTGTCACTCTTTCGTTGCTTTCCTTATTAATCTAAAGAAACGGAAAGATGTTAAGAAATGCTGGTGAACAGATGTGGCTGGTACGAAATAATTTTTTTTAAAAAAAAAAAAACAGCCGTTAGGCGGCTATAAGTTGTCGAACGAAAATAATTATGTCAATAAAGAAAACCCGGTTTCAACCAATATATTTATATGCCGCCGGAAACGAAGGCCAACATTAAAATTTCAAAAGTGAACCAAAAAATTGGTTTTATAAACCTATAGTGGTCCTTATGGGCGGATGGGAGGAGAAGGCACGGAGAGATATTTTTTTTTAACGAAGGGTCGAACAAGAGGTTAACGTTTTGCTTTTCGATGCTCAACAACAAAAGCACAGGTTGTAAAAAAAAAATATGTATAAAAAAAAAATTATGTAGAATAAGCTCGCGCAATAAGACAAGTTAAAAAAATGTGAGGGGGATAAAGTTCGGCAGAATTTTGGGCATCTTAGAATTCATATTACGTAGAGGTTGTAAATCTGAATGAATGCTTATTATGTCGTGATCAAATTAAAATGTTAGTGGTTCTTTCTGTGTAATGATGCACGATTATTTGTTGGCACTCTAAGTGGAACCATTCACCTCAACAACTAGGCACTTGATACGTCTATCTTTTATGAGGCTTTTATACACGTCCTGCCTGTTGAGGAATACGGTGGGACTTTGCATTACCCAATGCCGTTTTTTGGATCTATAAATATCGCCTTGTTTGTACGAATATTTATATATTTGTGCTAATGTTTGAAATTATATCAATTGAATTTACTGTTGCATAAATTGCAGATGAACAGAATTGCCTTCAAATTTACGGGTGTACCTATGATCTCTTTCAGTTAACTGGGACATCCAGTCCCCACTCGATTTACTCGGGATGCAATCGGTCGACCCGAGTAACGTACAAATGTGATCATAATCTACGTTTTTTTATTAATCTTCATGGAAGTCAAAAACATCTTTTCAAGTCCAGCTTCTCTTGCCCTTCGAGGAAAATCACTTTAATTTTTCCATTCTCATCTTTTATGTATACATCTCCTGTGCGTTCATTCTTACCTTGATGATATTTCCGACATACTCTCCATCTCCGAAATTCCGGGTTGGTCACGCCCCAACCTTAATTTCATGTGTTTGTCATAATTTTGCAAAGCGTTCTCGATCTTTTCGATTTCCTCTGAGCGAACCGTGATTGCTTGCCAATTCAACTTCTTTTTTTTCGCAGGCGAGATTAGACGAAATATCAGAAAATCCATGTGATCATATCATATCATCTAGAACATATACCTTTAATCTCGAGATATATTCTCGAACATTGTCATACAATCCTTCTGCTATGATGATCCCAGGGTATCCTGGCTTTGAATACCCTTGCATAAAATTATACGTTATTTTCATTCGAAACAAACACCTACCGCCGAGAATAAATTAGTTACACGAACCCCAAATCCTCAATTCTTCAGCCCATCTGCAAATGTTTTTTCTTTTCTCTAGCGACAGAAGATGATGAGTCCATATCAAAACTCTGCAAATTCTCTGCGTATTTTCATCATCAATGTCATTATCACTTTTTGGCTCCAGTGTTTCTGAAGTTCCCTCGGAAATATGTTGTTGTAAGAATGATCTTGCGTGTTGGTAAAGTTCGAAAACGCAACATTCTTGGAATTGAATCCATTGCATGGTTATTTATTACAGCCAGGAAAATAACCTTAAAGAATGTTTTGACATATGCATACCTCCATAGCTCCTTTTCTTCAACCTCAATTCAATTTCCTTGTTCACCTCATTCCAAATTTGCCTGTTTGCACTATCCCATGAAAAGTAACATTCGGGAGTGGCTTCCGGATATTTTTCCGGTAAGAAAACGTTAAACCAGCTTCCTTCCTCGCCCAATGATATTCGAAACCGAAAGGGCGGAACTTCTTTATTCGACAATGCATTTGTTTCTTCTTGGTTTGTAGTGAATGCAACCAATGTTGACTGACGGAACGACGTCGTTGTTGAAAAAAAAGGTAAGTGTGAATCCGATTATTTATTATTGTGAAATATTAGATACTACATATGGTATATACTACCTTCCAGACCTCGTTTTGTTCCCCGTCACCCTGCCATTGAAACTCATCTTCATTAAACATGGCGGTTAATAGGGATAATTCTTCATATTGTGATTTTTTATTGTTGTTACCGGTCATTGTTTCATAAACTTCGGTTTCGAAACGAATAAAGAAAATTTGTTGTTTTCATTGTATAGATCTATCGCATCATTTTGGTAATCGTTTTGAAACCCTTAAAAAATTACTGTGGCGCGGTGTCCAAAACCTGATAATTAAATTGTAACTCGTGCAGCGTGAGACAATGATTAATTACAGGTGGTACAGAACGATATAGGCTAACTTTCTTTTGATTGGTCAATTTAGTCAATTAAATTTATACAGTTTAGAGTACTTTTCCGATTTGTAAAATAAAGTTATTAAAACTGATTAAAATACTTACAGAAAATTTGTTGCAAAAGAATCTCAACAAGTTTTTTTATTTAAGTATGTTTTATATAAAACCAAGGTGTCAACGTATAATAAATTTAATATATGGATTGTGATCTACTATATTAAACTTATAGTAAATTTAATTATTACTAATAGAATTCTTAATAAGCTAAGCTAAGTTAACTCTAAAATATTTTTCAAATTTTTTATATAATAAATTATACTTCAACTAAATTTCACAATATTATTTATATTATATAAATCTATATAAGCCTATATAAATTAAAAAATATATTATTTTTTTTTATTTTTTTTAAAAATAAATAAATATTATTATTTTAAATTAGTTCAAATTATACATGTTGCTGAAATTCATAGATCCTTGACGCAATTGACGCAATTATTTGATGCAATTAATTGAGTCACTATTA